GCACCAGTCATCTTCCTCACGTACATTTCAACTCATTACATATATAAATTGATTTAATGTTCCCATTGATATGATCCTATTATGCTATCACTGGGATTACGCCAGGCTTAGAATGTTATCTGTTCAGCTTTATCCTGTGTCATTTTGCTTTGTACTCGCTATCTTTCTGAGAGGGGGGAAGGAGGATAATATAAATATATAGACTATACATGCATATATATACATGTGTATATATATGCATGTATGTATATGTGTATGTATATGTATGTGTATATATACAGACGCACATTTATGCATTTATATGTCTAAATATGTTTATATATACATATATATGTACATATACATATATAATGCATTTAATGCGAATGAAAATAAGAGAATTCATGGGCGTACACACGAATTTCTAGGCACATATTTCTTTGTATACATATATATTTTACGAGCGTTCATATTACATACGTTACATAGGTTATTTCATTCACCTCTGCTTACCACTGATTTGTCTTCGGAAAACAAAACAACAAAAAAACAAAAAAGATCCGACGTTAACGCAGAGGCAGATGGAGGTTACTCTAGATACGAGTGGCGTCGTCAAGGTCTACATACTTACATAGACCTTGGGCGTCGTTGCTTCGGGAAGACGTGGTACGGCATCGATGACGTCATGTTGGGGAGGTCTTATCAGGGGGAGACATTCGGGTTGATTTTTTTTTTTTTTTTCTCTTTTTCTTTTTTTATGTGCACGAGAATCCCTTCGTCCCTCTCGGTCACTTCCGCCCGATTGGGTGGCTGTCGGAAGGACCCAGTCTCCTTTGTCATCTTTCAGGATCCCTTGAGAATCCTTTGAGAATCCCTTAAGGATCGTCCACTCGTGATTATCGTGACTTCTGGCATTTCTTCCTTATCCTCACTTCTTTCATCCAGGAAAAAAATGCAGCATTCACAAACTCCTTCAAGTCCTACTAGCGCGCCATTCGTCCTTTCCCTTTCTCCCTCTCTTTCCAGCCTGCCCTCTTTCTCCTCTCCCACATCCCTCTACCTTCCTCTTTCCCTCTCTCCCTCTCCTTGCATCCTCCTCCATTTCGCTTCTCACACGCCCCTCTTCCCTCCCCTTTCCCCTTAGCCCCCTTCCGAGTCGCATGTCTCTCTCTTAACCTTCAACCCCTTTATTCTTGAACTGCCTGTGGCCTGTGTCCCTTCACCTCGCTCCTTCCTACTCCCTACTTCCTGCTCTTCCTTACTTTCTAATTCCTCCAGTATATATACATATATGTATGTATGTGTGTTTCTCTCTATTGAATTGCTGTGTGTCAGTGCTTTTGAAGACATCAAAGCTACAGATAACGATTCAAGGCGGACTTTATTCAATGAGTTATCTTTCAGCAAACATACCTATTGCCCAGGCCGAGACAATGCTTCTTTCGTTATAGAAAGTGCGAAGGTCAGGAGAAAACCTACCAATGAATTGAAGAATATTTTGAATGGATGAACTCGATAAAAGTGTCGAATTACCTCATTTGGTACACCGAACCAAATTTTGATAAGTCATGGCAGCAACAGCTCGAAATATTGGGAGTACACACACACACAAAAGGATAAATGAATCGACTGACAATGGATAGAATTCAAGTAATATAGAAAACGAGCTAAAATGCATAGTCTTTTAGCTTTGATAATACTTTTATTCTTGTCAGGGGATACAGCACTACACATTGCAGCTTCCCAAGGTCATCTCCATGTCCTGTTTACGCTGGTGAAACTTGGCGCCGCTACTAAAGTGAAGAACGGCCAAGGAATGACTCCCAAGGAACTGCTGAAAGGAACTTCCACCACTGCAAATTACGACATGGAAATCTTCAAAGGCATCTCGCTGGTAACGGCGCTGGAATCTGCTGATAGCAACTTAATCTATATTTTACTGGATCTTTACGATGCTAGCTTGGGTTTCCATACATGGCGAATGATTTTCGTCTTTTTCTTTTTCGTTATACAACCTAATCAATATTGAATCAATTCCATGCTCACCAGGATGATTCGATTTACAGATAGAAATAATGGAGAAATACCTCGCAGCTGAAAAGGGAAAGGCCAGCCTACGGAGAGAAAACATGTCGCTTCAGGTCAGTGAGAGATGGAGCTTCTGTAGTGGATCTGCTGTTTCAGGAAGAAAGACGCGTTGTGGAGGGGAACTGGTCGAGGGGGAAATGGGAATTATATCAGAAAGAGAGAGTGAGAGATAGACAAATAGAGGGATAGATAGAGAGTGGGTGAGTGAATGGATGAGTGAGAGACAGAGACAGGGAGGTGGAGAGAGAGAGGAGAGAGAAAGAGAGAGAGGAGAGAGAGATAGGGAGGGAGAGAGGGAGAAGGGGAAAGAATGACAGAGAAGAGAGGGAGAAGAGGAGAGAATGACAGAGAAGAGAGTTTGAGAAAGAAAAAAGAGAGAAAGAGAGAGAGGAGTGTGTGTGTGAGAGAGAGAGGAAAGTGAGAGAGAAGAGAAAGTGAGAGCTAGAAAGAGAGTTTGTATATGTTGTGTACGCAAATATACATACACATAAATAGAAAGTGTGTGTGAATGTATGTATGCGTGTATATGAGAGAGAGAAGAGGAGGTGGAAGACTGACAGATAGAAACAGAAATAGGAATCTCTTCAGAGTCAAGAATTTACGAGTAAACACACGTGTATATACCATTTCTCCTTTGCAGAATAAACACAAAAAGGAACTGAAGAGCATTAAAGAAGACCAGAGAAAGAGAGACGCTGATTCTCAGAAAATGAAGAAGGAAATCGGTGCTTTGAAAGACAAGATCAAAGCGATTGAGGTGAGACGGAGAGGAAATTAAGGGAACCTAAGAGGGGAAAGAGAGAGAAAAGAGAGAGGGATGGAAGGAAGGAGAGAGAGAGAAGGGAGGAGGGAAAGAAAGAGAAAGAGAGTTGGGGTGAAGGAGGGAATGAAAGAGAGGGTGGAAAGTGTCTCTAAATTAGTAAGTATACATATGTATACGTACCTGTGTATCTAACAATAATAACAATGATAGTGATAATCATAGTCATCATTATAACAAATGTAATAATAATTGCAGAATATCCCCCCCCCCCTTCCCCCCGTCTGTTTGCACGGAGGCGATGGAACATGCTGTAGTCAGGTGTATACAAGGTATCAGTTTGAATCTGCCAAGCCACTGCAATGGTTATAATACCTGGCGATAAAGTAGATTTTGAGTAGCTCGTCACCATTCTTGGAGAAGTAGGTGAAGCTAGATACGAGGAGCTTTGGGAAACCGCACCAGAGTCCGGTCAATGTTTGTGTGTATATGTGTGTGTACACGCTCATTCAGATACAGACTCACACGAGGCACATGCCCACACGCCCACTGTACATCCACGATTTTCAGTAAAGACCTGGAAGGCTTAAGCGATCCATTTCTTTCCAGGAGGAACACAAAGCAGAGCTGCGGAACGTCGCAGAAAATCAACAAGAAAAAGAGGCGGAGATTCTGAGGATGCAGAATGAAATAGTCGGTTTAAAGGAAACAGTTGCAAGTAGAGACGAGAAGATCAAGTCACTTGAGGTGAGATAAAGAAAGGAAGATTGAGATTTCAGATAGGGATGAGAGGGAAGAAGAGATATATAGAGAGAAAGAGAGAGAAAGATGAAGAGCCTTTACTGACAATTAGGAGCAGGAAGCGATATATATATATATAATATATATATATATATATATATATAGATAGATAGATAGATAGATAGATAGATAGATAGATATAGATATACATACATACATACATACATACATATATATATATATATATATATATATATATATATATATATATATATATATATATATATATATATATATATATATATATGATACACACACACACACACACACAGAGAGAGAGAGAGAGAGAGAGAGAGAGCAGAGAACGAGAGACGCTGACTCTCGGGAAATGAAAAAGGAAATCGGTGTTTTAAAAGGGAAGTTCAAGGCGACCGAGGTGAGACGAAGAGGAAAGTGGAAAGAGACATAGAAAGAGATGAGGGGAATGAGAGAAAGGGAGAGTGAAAGGAGGGAAAGAGAGAGGGGAGGGGGAGAGACAGAAAGAGAGAGAAAAGAGGGAGGGAGAGAGTGTGAAAGAGGGAGGGAATGAAGAGAGAGAGGAGAAAAGACAGAGATATAGAGGGAGAGAGAGTGAAAGAGGGAGGAAACAAAGAGAGAGTGGAGAAGAGTGATAGAGATAGGGAAGAGGGTAGGAGAGAAAAGAGAGACAGACAGAAAGAGAGAGAGAGAGAGAAGAGGGAGGTAGAGAGAGATGGAAGGAGTGAGGGGGAGGGGGGGGGGTAGAGGGAGAGAATGAGAGAGCTAAGGGCAAAGGCAGGGTGGGAAGCAAGGTAAGAGTGAGAGGATGAAAAGTATGTATCTGAGTGAGTTTGCATACACATAAATGTGCATATGTGTAATAATATTAATGATGATACTCATAATAATTGAAAAAAAAAGATAACAATGATAGCAATAACAACCAGAAGCCCATAAAAAATTACAGTAAAATCACCTCCTCAAGTACACAGATGACGTCCGTAAGCATCACCTCCTTGGCGGAGGCAAGGCAACGGGGGAAATTATGTCATCATTCAAAAAATTCTTGGATCCGGATCACGATTCGGGTCACCACCAAAATTCAATGGAATCTAAGGCTAAAACACCTATGATAAATTTGCATGCAATTCTGTTCAAACTTTTTATTAGTTATCCTGCTAACAAACAAACACATAAAAGCCGGATTGCCACCAATATTAATGCCATCTAAGTTAGGCTAAGACACACCTCTGATGAAAAAAATCAGAAAAAAACTACCTACAACTTCTTGAGTTATCTTGCTAACGAACAAACTACCCAACGCGATCAAAAGCATAACTTTCTTGGCGGAGATAATAATAATAATAATAATAATGTATGGAAGCGATGGAACATGCTGTAGTCAGGTATATGTAAGGCATCAGCTTGGATCTGCCAAGCCTCTGAGATGGTATGAAACCTGGTGATACAGACGTGATTATTGTGAGCAGATTGTTAACTTAGTTGGGGAGGAATGTGACGTTAGACATGACCAACTTTGGGAAACTGTATCGGTGTCGAGGAATATCGGCAGGTTTAAAAGGTTTGGACTTCCTCTCTGTTACTTGTTCGGAGTGTGGGGAGGCCTATGCGCCGCTGAATGTGACGGCCTCCCTTGCTATCCCAATTCTTTAATCATTGGATCACTTCACTGTTCGGGGTCCCACAGCTGTGTTTAGGGAGACTATAATGTTTTCCTGTTGTACCGAAGATGCGCCATAGTTGCTAAGACCTGCTTTGCCACAGCCAGAGATGAGACCAACAGGAATAAAATGGTCGGTTTAGAGGAACAATTTAGAGACTGTCCTTCGGGTGAGATAAATGGAATAGTGAGATCTAGTAGAATTGAGGGAAGAAACGAAGACGAATTATAGAAGAGATATATGAAGATATTACTAGAGAGAGAGAGATACTGAAAGGGAGCACACAGTAGCAAGGGACGGCAGACGCGTTGGCAAGCCAAATCAGAAATATGATAGCGTGCATTATGATCGTAAGCAGGAACATGCATGAACAACGAGAACTTTCTGCGCGCTCTCCGCAACGGGGCTTTGTGGGCGCCGAGCGGCGTCGGACGCGCAGGGACTCCGAGGGTGTCTCAATTCCGTTCCACTTCCTATTCCTCTCCCTCGCCCTCTCTCTCGCTCTCTTTTTCTCTTCTCCTTCCTCCCTTCCTCTCTCTTCTTCCTCTTCCTTTTCCTATCTCTCTCTCGCTCTCCCTGGTGCACACACAGCACATATTATAAACCATTAATGGAAATGATAAACGCTATGTATTTTCGTCCTAACTGTACATGCTGAGATTCCCATTTCAATTGCACATACAGTTTGTTGCTCATTAGACTCATATATTCGTAATGTTGAAATTTGAAATGCGTCGATGAGAACGTCCACCCTATGCCGAAGCCTTTGCTGAATTCCAGTGACGTCTACAGAATCATTACAGATTACATAACGTCATAGATCTTAAAGAACACATCCTGAATCTCCCTTTCAAGGAACAAAGTACGAAGGAACTGCTGAGTCTCAGAAACGCGCAGCACCTGAAGGAGGCCGAGGCGGCGAGCCAACTCAGGGAAGCCCAGGAGGCGCTCAAGTCCCGAGACAAGAGGGTCAAGACACTGAAGGTGAGGAGGAGGTCGATCTTGAGTGGCAGGGAGAAGGAAACGATAACCATATATGTATGTGTGTGTGTGCATGTACAGACGCGTGGTTTTGATAATGGGAATGACGAGGAGTAAGGTCGTAACTAGAGCTTCAACAACAGCAAAACTAACCGTCTGCCTTGACAGGAAATCTTACTCATCCTCCATCCAGTCTCAGGAAAAGAAGAAGTGGCAACTCAACCTTGGCCTTGACTCAGACATAATAAAGTGGCGTTGAAGGAACGGAATTTCATTTAAAGCAGTTAGGAAAAATATTGCTTGTGCGTTTTAAATGCAAAGTATATGTAAACATGAGTGTTAAACATCAGCTGATGGGAAAAACAAACAAACTGCGAATCGGCTTGGTTGCCAGTTCTTCCTTTCCGGACGCATTATAATTAGTTTACATATCTTATCATTTTATAAATCTATTCCACACAGCGGCAGCTAAAGGAGAAAGAGGCTGAATGCGGACGACTGAGCTCGGTGCTGGAAGAAAAAGAAATACAAATCAGCCAATTGGAGGTAAGTGTATGTGTATGTATGCTCTACCTGCGTGTGCATTCGTATAGTGTACACATTGTGTCTATCTATGTGTGTTTGTGTGTGGCTGTATTTGCGTTATATACATTCAGACGTATGGTGTAAGTGGATAGCATGGATGAATGTCATTCTTTTGAACCTTTGATGCCAACCATACTTATAACACCCAGTGCCTAGATAACAGATTATCGCCTGGTTGTGACTCAGAAAGTAATTTAAAAGTTGCATTACTTTTCGTAGATCGTAGATGATCTTTGAAAATGTGGCTAGCCAAAGAAGGAATAATCAGTAAATAGCGAAGAAGTTTGGCGAAAAGATTGGCACTAGGTAGGGAGGAGGATAGACAGTAAGTCGGATGATAAATCTAATGGAAGAGTATAGATAATCATATATTTCAGGGTCAGCTAGAGATACACGAGAGAAAGGTCAGGACTTTGCAATCGCGACTGGACGATAAAGAAAATCAGTTGCATGAATTGCAGGTAAGGGTCTCGGATATCGTTACGGAGACAAACATGCGCACATATGAATGCAAACTCAGAGAAACGCACGCACACACTAATGCACGTGCACGCATATAAATGGATAAGAAGATTGATAGAGATATTGATGAAACTTTTCTTTTGGGAATAGGAGTCTCTTCAAGCAGAGCCGATGGATGCTTCTCAGCGCCCGGACGCGCTTGTC